TGCAGTTACTTCGGTAGTTGAAACGCAAATAAATTGCATAACTGGTCCACTTAATGCAACCTATCAAACTGGTGATGTTTTTCCAGGTAATTTACGTTTTTTAAGTTTTTTAACTTTTTTTTTTTTGCTAAAGTTACAACTTTTTTTTTCAATATATTTCATTAAAAATAAAAGAGTTTAAGATTCTTTTGACAGTTTTGAGTATCACTGTAAAATTCCCACCAATTGCAGCAAATCAGAGATATGACACTGAATACCAAAATGCAAACTGGATTAATGCTAATGAATAAAATCTATTTAAAAAAAATGCTAGTCTATGCTGTTCTATAATTAATTTAAAAGGAAGAACAACAGTAAACAGTTGTTCTAACTATGGTACTTTATAAACAGGTCTAATTGGTCCACTTCCTCTTTGCCAATCCATTGTTACATTAGTGCAATTGAAACCTGGATATTTGTATTATATATACTCAGATTGTAAAAAATGGAAGAAAACCATATTTTCATAAAATTTTAAAAAACGAAAAAATTTTTTTATTGTTTCACATTACTTATGTTGTTAGAAAAGTTTGTAAAACTTGATCTATAAAGTTACAATAAGACAGGAAATGGTTAAATATTTATATATCATCTTAAACTAATTATAAATATTTGTTGTAAATAACTAATTATAATACTTGTTGTAATATTTTGAATGTGTATTAAAAAATTGTTTAATTTTATTAAACAATAATTTTATTAAACACAAAATTATTCAAAAGGTCATAATAATTGTTAGTGTTGCATAATAAGTGTATATCACTTATTATGCAACACTATAGTTGCACATATTCAAAGGAATAATAGGTTGGGAAAGGAATAATTAAAGGCAAACCTCAAAAATAAAACTGATCATCTAGGTCATTTTTTTAAGTTTAAAATAAGTTGGGTTCTACTCGCAATAACTTTTACTTCTAAAAAATTATTTTTCAAACTTTTTGTTTAGATTTTTGATATCAAACTGTCGTACTTAAAATAGTTATTTATTTATTTATTTTTAATCATTTTGAAAAGTTTATTTTATTTCTTAAAATATTACTTAACTATTTTAAATATGGATGTGGTCATATTGTAAAGTTTGTATTATACAACTTGATGGTCATATTGTGTTGATTTTAAAACATATATATGTATATTTAGGTGGTCGTGGCCATGACATAGAGATATGGCCAAAAGCAAATAATTACATAATGGATATTAAAAACAAGTTTAATGATTCGTTTCCAGTTCCTGTTGTCAGAAACACATTGTATACAGAACTACAGATTTATAGCAGAAAGCAGTTCTTACCATCACGATATCCTGCTATTAGTGCAAGAGTTACAGGATTTTTGCGACCTCCACAGGATGGCTTTTATCATATTATGATAAATGCTGATGATGGAAGTATATTAGAGATCAGCGACTCTCCTTCTAATATGTCCTCTACAAAAATGGTGAGTTAAAAAAAAAATGAAAAAAATAGTTGATGTTCATTTTTTTTAAATTTATTATTATTAATACTATTATTTTTTTAATTATTATTATTACAATTATTTTTTTAATTATTATTATAACTATTATTTTTATAATTATTACTATTTATACTATTATATAAGTAGTAGTAGTAGTAGTAGTAGTAGTAGTAGTAGTAGTAGTAGTAGTAGTAGTAGTAGTAGTAGTAGTAGTAGTAGTAGTAGTAGTAGTAGTAGTAGCAGTAGCAGTAGCAGTAGCAGTAGCAGTAGTAGATTACTTATTATAATAGTAAATTACTTTTGTCAGTTGCACTACAACTGACAAAAGTAATTTAAATCGAAGTTAATTATAAGTTTGTATTGTTATTATCCAAAACCACAATTTTTTTTTCTTTAAGTAAGTTTTTTTTATGACTGTTACTTTTAAATCAAAGGTAATTTGAAATTCAAACAAATAAATTTTAAATCAACCTTAAAATTAAAAAAATTATATATTTAAAACAATGTAATTATTTATTTAGATTTAAAAATTTTAGATCATTATTTTGTTATAAATTATTGTTCTTGTGAATTCCTTACAAATTATTGTCACAATCCTTTAACATCAAAACGCTAACTAACTCTGAAAAAGAGGGCTATTGAGAAAGAAAAAGAGGGCTAACTAACTCTGAAAAAGAGGGCTATTGCATGGAGAAACAAATAGAGTGTGGTACTACCAGGAAACAGATGAGGAGCAGGTTCAACTACAGTTACAATGAATTTTGCATTTTAAATATAATTAACTTTGAAAACATTGAAGGTCTAAAGAGCAGGGACATATATAATGTGCTTCTCTTTTAAACCTTACCTAAAAGAGAAGTGATATTATTGGAAGAAACAGCAGAAATATGACAGCATTTTATAAAAAGACATAGAATAAACATGAGAATAGAATCAGTTGTAAAAAAATGGCTACCATGATAAAAAGAGGCAACATTAACAGATGATAACTTTAAAATTAATTATGACATATTGTGTATATAAATGGTCAGAACAAAAAGAAAATAAGATAGAAGACTTAATAAAAGTGTTTTCATCCTATCAGGATAGGAAATTTATTTACTTTTAATTATTAAAACAATAATTAAAAATAAATAAATAAGTTTTGTTTAGTTTAAAATTCACCAGCCACTGAGTTCCAAGTATAAAATCAAGTATTGAGTTTTAAGTGCGCAAATAAAGTAAACTTTATTTTTTAATCATTTGATGTTCTATAGTAATTTTTTTATTGTAAACACTGTAAATTTTTCATTAAGGATGATATTGTTTTTTTTTTTGACAAAAATTTTGTTTTTAGTTTGATTTCTGTTGGCAACTTCTTGTACTGCTAATTTTATCTTTTTAATTTTCATTGATTTTTGAATTTCCTTTTAGGTTTGTACAAAAATAGATGCAGTTTGTACCATTATGGTTGCGCCATTATATTTGTTTATCACCATTATATTTGTTTATCTTGATGGAAATCTTTTCTATCTTAATTATTGTTATTATTCTTTTTACCAACACACTTATTATTGAAAGATATATTGATAACTATTGTATTATATGTATTTTACTTATCAGGGTCGATGACACCGGTTTCGAAGTGGGGGGGGGGGAGCACAATAGTCACTTTCTAAAAAAAATTCTCTATATCAAGAATTTTCTTAAAAAAAAAAAGTTCCTTTAGAAAAAAAGTGTGTGTGTGTGGGGGGAGGGGGCATGTGCCCACTGGCCTCCCCGTGTCATCAGCTTTCCATATGAATATAATAATATAGCAACAGTTATTGCTTCACCACATTCACCTATTACATACACAACATTCATTGCTTCAACTATGTGTGTTTTACATGTAAATAATATTGTGAGTTAGGTAAATAAGGCTGAACCTTATTTGCTCATAGTATAATCTTTCTATCATTAGGATCAGCAGTTGAATGAAAGGAATTCTGTTATTGTAAGTATGGAAAGTTGTTAGATTCAAGATGAGTTGTAAAAAGTTTCAAGTGAAAAACAGTTTTAGCAACAAATGTCAGTGTGGTTTGACTTATATTCAACAAAAATAATTAAAAGCTTCTGTCTTGAATGAATCTAGGAGTTTATTAATGAAGTGCGTTTTTAAAAGTGAAAATTTCAAATACCAAGGACTATCACAAATTAAATCATTAAGTCCATACATTTCCAGTCAGCCTTATATTTGTAGTAAACAGTTGGGTGATGTAGATAAATAAAGCAGATTAGGCTTGTCTAGAAAATTTGACTAAATTATTGCATTTAACACAACCTACTGAAAATTTTACAATTTAAAGTAACCAAACTGATCAAATACACTAAATAATACTCCTCAAAATACAATTAACTACTCTGAATAATCAATAAAAAACCCCACCGCTCCCTTTTTTTTTTTTTTAATTATTCACTTCCCAAAGGCCCAAGGGGGCCACTATAGTTGAGGAGGCTACTCATTTTTTTTTGTTTGTTTGTTTGTTGTAAATCGTGGTACAACCCTCTCTCAACTCTTTAACTCCGAAACAGGAACCTTGACAAGCAAGGCCGTTGCGCAGAGAAATTAAGTTGAGCGCAAAAACTTCCAGGGGCGTGGTGGGAGTCAAACTTCGAACCTCTTGCTTACAAAGCGAGCGCTCTTACCACTGCACTACCACCACTTGACTACATCCTGTTAACTAAATATAATTTATAGAAGTAGACAATAAATAAAAACTGCAGGATTAATTGACTAATATATTAACAGACTTTTTAATTTTGATTTTTTTCTCTATAAATGTTATTTGAATGTAATTAAATATGTATTTTTAATTGATTGATGACAAATAACAAAGTAGAATAAATACACATCAATTCTAAAGGATTAAGATCGAAGGATTGAGTTTTTTTTTTTGTTGATAATAGTTAGAATAATTAAATTTGGGTGAATGAAGATAATGAGAATGAGAAATGAGTGCCAAAGTTGACTATCTACGAGATTAAGACAAATGAAAAGAATAAAAATATTTTTTATTTACATTATTTTCATTATTAAATTGCTTAGAAATTATTTCAAATGTTTATTTATCTGGTGATGATGTTAAAATATTGAAAATGCAAAAACCTTACTTAAAATTAACCGAAAAAAAAAATAAATAAAATAAAATAAAATATTGATGATGGCCAATATTTTAATAATGAGAAACTTAGTATGTATTTTTTTTCTATCTAAAATACAATATTATTATTTTTTTATTTTATAAATTTTTTTGTCCTACTGGTTACTGTCCATATTATTAACCATACTATATATTAATATCCATGAAAGTTGGTTTATGTCAAACACTTATGTTATGTTATGTGTTATGTTTTAAAAGGTTATAAAAGTTAGTTAAATGAAATTGTTTAACAATTCAAAATGATTATTTATTATTTTAAAATTTTAAGGTTAAAGTTTGTGGAAGCACTTATTGGACACAGTCAAGTTTTTTTACATATACAGAACAAAAATCCAGAAAAATGTACATGAGACGAGATCGGGAATATTTTTTCAAAGCTTACTTAGCAGATGGTGGCGGAGAATATCAGTTAGAGATTGGGTTATTGGGTTATAAAACCAACCTGAGTAATGCTGATTTTGATAAAGTTTTTAATGAAGTTCAAAATATAACAATATATTCTGTTTACAAACCTGAAATCCAGGTAAAAAAGTATTGCTTGTTTTTTACTTGCTTATTTGTGTAATATTAGTTACTTGTGTATGTTTATTGTTACTAGATTAGTTTGTTTTAACATTGCATTAATAAAATGGAAATAGAAAAGATTTACTTCTTATAAATTTATATAAATATGTAGTTTTTGTAATAACTTTATGCTTTTTAGTTTAATGATTTTTCAATTTTATTTTATTAATAGTTTTGTTAAATTTTAGATGATCGATGTTAGCAACTTGAATATAACCAGTCAAGTTTCATTAACATATGGAAGTCGCAGCACACGTTTGTTTTCAGTTAATAGTTCTGTCACAGATATTGAAAACAAATTAAAAACAGACATCTTTTCAGAAAATTGCTCATTTGTATCAACCTCTGGTATGTGTAATTAAAACTTATTATTTTTACTTATTTTATTTTGTATATATATATATGTATATATATATATATATATAAATATATATATACATATATATATAAATATAATTCCGCAAGAAACGCGGTTGTATTATTTGACACTCTTTAAGCTGTTGCAGGGGTCATAACGCCTCTTTTTTACCACTTCTGAACAAAACAACTTTTTCAAACTTAACACAGCAAACGGCATGGTAAAAAAAATCATTTGGTGTGTGTATTTAGCACATATTGATGTTATTATTTGCTGAATTTTATAGCTTTTATAAGCATTTTAATGTTTTTTTTTGTTGTGATGGTTGTAACAAAAACTCATTATCAAAGTTTTCAATTATGGATATATGATACAATTTTTAACGCTACACAACTGTAATTAAGCATTAAATTACTTTTATTCAACCCTTACAACTTTAAAACCATGCTATGATAAAACTATTTTTTTAGTATATATATATATATATATATATATATATATATATATATATATATATATATATATATATATATATATATATATATATATATACAGGACCTATTCTAGGAAAAAAATTTGGGCGGCATACCCCCTCATTCTAACAAACTTTAGCAGAAAATCTGGGGTTTTTTTGCGAAAATAATAATATTTGCTGTAAAAAACTTTAAAAAAAAAAAAGATTCTCAAATTTTAATTTGAGCGGCACCCAAATCGATGCCCAAATACTGTCGACGCTAATTAAATTGAAGCTGTAAAAATTTAATATTATTTAGTTTTTGGTTTTTTCTTTTTTTTTATAGATAAAAAAGTTTTTTTTTCTTCCTAGCAATAATTTGCTAGATTTTTTTCTTCCTAGCAATAATTTGCTAGGAAGAAAAAAATTTTGAAATCGTGAAAAGTGAAGCTGAAGTTTTTAATAATTTTATTACTAATAATGAAATTATTCAAAATTAAATAATTAAAAAAAACTTAAATAATTTTATTTTATTAAAATTATTTAAAAGTTTTATAAGCAGCTTGTTTCTAGGCTTGCTTGTTCTTTGTGGTTATGTTTCAGAGTTGAAGGGTTGAAAGAGGCTTGTAAACTATTAAAATAGAATTAAACAAATAAAGACTATTAAAAAACAACAACATAGGTATAGCTGCCTCAACTGCAGTGGCACCCTAAACCTTGAGGAGTTGAATACAGTAAAAAAGCATATATATTTGTATATAAAGATGGTATGGGTAATATTTAAAAAATTTTATCTGCCGTATTTTTTTAATTTTCTTACATTGTTTAATATTGTAACCATAGTTACTATAGACCTGCAAGTAGGTTCAATTATAATTTGAAATTAAAATGTAAAAATATGGAGTCAATGTGATTTTTCTATAGACACAAAACATGAAGAATACATCACCAATGTAAATCCATAAAAGCTATTGATATTGGAAATTAATGTGATTTTGTGTGGGTTGAAGCATCTGAAGCAAATGAGCACAATCTTTTTTATTTTTATTATAATTATAATTTTTATTATTATTTTATGTTAATTCACCTCTCCAAGGCCAAGAAGGCCACTACAGTCAAGGAGATTACTTTAATTTTGCTCACAGCTATCTCCCAACTCTATAGCTCCAAAACAAGAGCCATAATGAACAAGAAACAAGTAGTGTATAATGTACAATATATGAGCAGAGGACCTCCAATCAAATACCTCCAATCAAATACCTCCAATCAAATACCTCCAATCAAATACCTCCAATCAAATACCTCCAATCAAATATTGTACATCATACACTCATAACCATTAGCAGAGTATCTCTGCCAGAGATACTCTGCTGTCAGTTATATAAAATATTTGATAAACCCTGATAATTAATTGGTTAGGCTGTTACATGCCAAGATAATAGGTTGCAACAATACCTTTATCATATGACTTTTAGGTAAAGTTTAGAAATTTAGGCAAAGACAGGGTGTATCAGGGTGCTCATTTTTAATTGATATAAAAGTACTATTTTATTTTAATATTTAATATTAAAATAGTTAATATTAAAATATTGAGTTAAATAACAAATAATCAATAGTGTATACTATAATAACGAACTAAAATCATTTAACCTTTTTTATAATATTTTTTTACAATTGTTTTACAACATTTAAAAAATAATTTTTTAACTTTGTAAATTTTTGTAGTTTAATATTATACATTAATGATAAATAAACAATAAAATAAAGTGATAATATATATGAATAATATTGATAGATAACTTGTTTGTAATATTAAATAAATACATATTTATATTCATAGTATTAACAAAAAGACATCTAAGAACAAAATCGTTTTTGTGATTATTGTTATATGCTTCAAATATTTTGTTATATTTATTAAAATGTTATTCTTGTTATGGTTTTATAGGAGCAAACGTATTTTACTCCGAGGGTTATGAATTTGATTTAAGAGCTGGAGGCAAAGAATATGGTGTTCGAATAGAGAATCAACGTCCATTTTGTGGTCGTCGCATGCTTCAACTTTCAAGTGATCTGATAATATTTTATGCTGATCTAACTGTTGCTAATGACACTACAAAAAAGTCATCCTTTGATATTTCTGTATATAAATATGTAAGTATAAATAAAATATTTAAAAAAAAGCTAAAAAAGGATTATTGTCAACATATAGCTTTTTAATTAAAAAATATAAATAGTAAGTTTTTTTCCTGTTAAAATTGTCCATTTGAATTTGAAATATCAAATATTAGTACATATCCATATATAATAGATATCTGTTGAAACTGTATTCAAATTCTCAATTAAGCTTAATTCAAAAGAGGTTTTTAATAAAGAATTGTTAATAAAATATGAATATATAATTAATATAATAATTATTTTATTTACAAATTAGTTTAAAAAAGGCAAATATGTATGAAATAATAAAAAACAAAAATAAAAGTTATAGGCAATATGGTAAAATATGTAAACTACTTTTTATTTTGTTTAACAGCTATGTTTTTTTATCCGTGGCGCATTTGCAAACAGAATTAATATAATGTTCTCCTATAAAAAAATTGATGGCTCAACAGGCAGTGTGGTAAAAAACTACCCCTTTATTGACGATAATGGAATGGTTTGTATGAATTTGGTAGATACTATAACAACTGAAAGTATTTACAAATTTCCTATAAATATCATATATTTGCAACTTGTTCGTGATCCCTCTAAAAGTTCTTTACCCCAAATTTATGTTGATGAAATATGGATATCAAACATCAGAAGAGATAGTAAGTAAAGTTTTTTGAAGAGTTGGTTAGTCTAATACTAAAAAAATTAGTAAAGTAAACTTTATTTGATTTAATAAACTAAATATTTTTTTGGGTTTGTTTATAGATCCAACTTTAGTAAATTATAATCAGTAATTTTATGAATTTTTGTTTAGTTAACATTCTTAGTAGTGCACCGGGCACGTGGGTTGATATGATAAAGGTTGATAGTAAAACTACTTCAGGTACAAATGAAAAGAAATGGAATATTTCCATGTATATTAATTTGTGTGGTAACAACCCATATACTTTTGAAGCAGTTAGTGATGGAAAACCAGTTTCAGTATTTAAATATCAAACCTCTACTCCACCACTTTCTGGAACATTCAAGATTTCCCATGTGCTTAATGATGGAACAACTGTTTTAACTGATGGTAACCTGTTATTTATTTATTAATGTTTATTAATTTCCTTTATTAATTTATTCTTATTTTTTTGTTTTAACTTTTTTGTTTTGATTTTTTTTTAGTTTTATTATAATCACTAATTTTTATTAATCTCTAATAATTATTAATCACTAATTTATTAGTTAATAAATGTAATATTGTATAAATTTATAAAAAATGTAAAATTGTATAAATCATAATTATTACACTTATTATATTTATTAATTATATGCATTTTTTTTCTATTTAATTGTTATATTGTTTTTCAGACATTCCTCTCAATGTAGATGTAATTACTTTAAAAAAAACACTTGAAGACATGATACCTAACGCAGTTTTTATTGTTAGTAGTTATAATAATTGCTCTTATTACCAATGGAGAGTTGAGTGGTTTTCTGGAGGGGGTGATAAAGAACTATTGCAGCTTATAATTGATAATGTAAGAGGTCAGGATGTTTTAAACAATACCATTGTTATTCAAAATGGAGGTATTCTGTTTGGGCCACTACCAGGAGAATTTCTTCAACTTGCTGAGCCTATTCCACAAGTAAGTCAAATCTTTTTAATTACAGAAAAAAATTGTTAAAAATTTGTTAAAAATTAGATTATTATAAAAAAGTGATGCTTTAAAAAAAACTTCAAAAATTACAAAACTTTTGTTTACTCCTGGTCTTCAAAAATATTGAGAGGTTTATGAAATATTTATGGACTTAAAAAAAAAAAGCACAACATTTGGTGTACGGAAATATTAATTTTGAAACAAATTCCTCAAGGAAATTGGTTGCTAGGTAAAAAAAAATAAAAAAATAGGATGTTAAAATTAAAATTCACCGCATTTTTCTCAATGCATTTATAATACATTATGGGCTATATTGAAAAAATACAATGGATTTCAACACTTTTGAAGCTCTAGGAACAAATTATATTTATACCATTTTAAAAGACTTTTTTGGGTTTACATAACTAGTATTTTGCATACCTAATATTTCACATACCTAGTCTTTCACATATTTAGTAGTTCACATACCTAACATTATATATACCTAGTATTTCACTTACTCAGTATTTTAAACTTGTTTTGATTTTAAATAAATTACTTGATTGAGTTTTATAAATAAACAAACAAAAATTTTCTTTTTAAGGTTGTTGTTTCGGTCAACGGAATAGTATCAAAATGCAAAACACGTGGAATGTGTGCATATACATATTCCACATTATTGACACCTCAATGTTTAATGATAACACCATCCATTGGAGGATATAAAAGTATTGTTACTATAACTTGTGAAGGTTGTCAAAACAAATCAAATGTTTTTATTGGTGGTGTAGAGTGCAGTGTTACAAAGCAGTCTGATAAAATTATTACATGTACTGTTGGTAAGAAATTTTTTTCTGACATAGACAAAAACACACCAGGCTCAATAAGATATAAACTTTCCATAAAGTTGTTTCAATAATTAATAAGTTTTTCAATTCAAAAATTCAAAAATTTTTCTGTTTCAATAAAGGATGAATTTTCATAAGTTTGTTTTAATAAAAGTTAAAATTTTTAACTTACTTATCACAGTTGTAAAAAAATTTGTTTTATCATAAAAATAATGAGGTAAAAATATCAACGTAATGATAAATAAAAAGCAAAAAAAATTTAAAAACATCAATGAAAAATGAAGTCAATTGAATCATGGATAAAATTAATTTAGAAAATTTAGATTAAGAAAATGCTTATGTAAAAAGTTTTTAAAAATTTTTAAAAGAAAAATATTTTCAAAAGAGTTATAAGCAGATAAAATTGTGGTAGGAAGTAAAGATGATAAGCTCAAAATAATGTGATAGAAAGTGATGAAAGTTTATTCATTGAATGGAAAAATCTAGATATGAGCAAACAGTTAAACCATTAGAAATATCATTTTTTACATAAAAGTTACCATTTTATTAGCTGTTACCCTTTAGTTAAACAATTTAATAACTTTTTTATTGTATATTTTTTTGCTATTGCCTAATTTGTCGCAGTTATTAAAAAAAAAAAAATTTGCAATTTATATTTTATTACCTTATATAATATTTGCATATAAAATTAAATAAGTTTTTTTAACCCAACTGAAGATGACTGTAAAATAGTCGAAACATGTATTTTAATTTTATTTGTTGAAAAAAAAAGGGTTTTATTTATAAGTGGAAAAAATTATTCTTATTTCTTAATTGTTTTAATGGTACTGCATAGGAAAGAAATTTTGGAAATATATATATATATATATATATATATATATATATATATATATATATATATATATATATATATATATATATAATATATATATATATATAAGAAATCTATAATTTTAATCGTCGTTGCCACCAAGGATTGAAATTGTTTTTTTTATTACTTTAATTGTTGCACTTTCAGTTTTCAAGAAGCTTGTAAACAATATTTATAAATTATTCACTGTAAATAAAAAAATCAGTAACTAAGTTCTGTAACTTAGTTTGCCAATATAGACTTTTTTCTGTCTAGAAATTTTATTTAGTAACTTTAGACAACAAAAGCAACTGGTTTTGTACACGTCTTGTGTGTGCAGTTTATTATACTTGTCCATTCAGAACAATTCAACCAAACTTTGACATACAATCGTTCTGTGAAGAAGGAAATATCAAAACAAATTTGTTTGTCAATTTGAATTGTTTTTGGAATAACAATACTTAATTGAATATATTGCAATGGCTATTGATTGCTATGGCGGTACTGATTTGAGAAACATGAATGTTGACTTAGCAACCCATATTCATTGCAAGGTTAAAACTGTTCAAGCTGATTCTCAAAAAATCCAACGATGACATATTTGGTGTTGGCAACTGCAAATGCTGCTTGTTTTTTAGAATAAACAGTTGTAAAAACTTCTCCTTTAATGTTTCTCCAATTTTTTTGAAATTAATTGAATAACAAAATGTCAGGGCCAATTGATGAGCCAAGTGAATGAGTCACTAAAGTTTCCAATATTACTTCAAGAATATGATGCCTGCAGGGCAGCCATATATCTTTTTCTATTTTTTGTTCAAGTATGATTTATGCACCCTTTTGAAGTCCAGTATTGATTGATGTGTCAAAACTCAAATATTTGACTCGGTTACAGATTCCCCATGCCAAGAAGGTTTTGTATGCAGTTGACTCTGCTAATTCTTTTTCCATTCTAATTCTAGCTTGAGGTTTTGATACACCATGCAGTACTCCAGCACCAAACACAAGGATTACCAATTAATCAAGAGTTTCTTTCAACAGTATCTTCCGTCTGTCAGCATTCTCCTTCCCAACAAACTGTCAAACTGTCTGCATTTATATTTTTTTCGTATTGTTATATCTTTTCGGTACTTCATCTACATTTATTGAGTAGAGGTAGATTTGATGTTGTAGTCAGCAGGTGACTTTATTTTATAATGTTGTAACCAGTAGATTATCACTAAAAATTTGTAAAGGTGGGTGTCAAGATAACTTCTGCATTTTTTTCTCTAAGTTTTGCCATGTCTAGATTCACAACTAATTTATCATTTAATTCCAAGTTATTACCTCATTTTGGATTCTTGGAAGTTGATAGTTTTCCACCTACAGCACCAAGATCACCATCATTGTCATCCTGACTTTTTTTTAGATCAAGCCATTTTCAAATGGCTTCTAATTGTTTATAGCAGAGATGTCACTGTCGCTGCTTTAATTCTTAAATATATATATATATATATATATATATATATATATATATATATATATATATATATATATATATATATATATATATATATATATATATATATATATAATCAATATATATATATATATAATCAATATATATATATATATATATATATATATATATATATATATATATATATATATATATATATATATATATATATATATATATAATCAAAATCGAGAAAAAACAAATTGTGATTGTATTTAAAAGATGCTACCATAATATTAAGCTTTATGCCTTAGAATGATTGACTTTGTTTTAATGTCTGTAAATGCAGTAATGTCTTACACAAGTTAAAACTAAATTAGACTTGTCTAGCTTGTCATTATTAAACTGATTTTAAATGGTTTTAATTGGCCTAAATCTAATTTTGAGTTGTTGGTCTAATTTCACTGCTTCTTACCCAGAAAAAGCTTCCTTCAACTCAAGAAGTCATATTAAATTTCCATTAGTAGAATGAAAAGCAGATTTATGTCAAAAGATGTTATGAAAACTTGGGCAAAAGCTTGCCAACCAGTTTTTTCAAGATTAGGGGAAAAAAACTGAAAAAGATAGAAACTGAAAAAAACAAAGTAAAAAAAAAAAAACGATCAGCCAATCTGAAAGTAAAAAAAGAAAGTTAGAGATTTTCTTTACAAGATGTTTAAGATATTGCTTAAACTATTTTTATTGAGTTGATTTTTTGAAAAAGACAAAAAATTTCTTTAAGCTAAATGTGAAAAAGGTTGTCAACGAAAAATAAGTAGTGTAGAAAAACGTTTAATAACAAAAGAAGAAAAGGGTTTTAAAAACTTTGAACATTTAAGGAATTTAAGAAAATTGTAACATGAAGCAAAATACAATATTTTGCCTTTTAAAAAAGTTTAATAACTTGAGATAATGGATCATGTTAAAATAAAAAACATTGGCAGTTTTTTCCTTAATGCAATAGCAGATGTCAATCTTGTAAGATGTAGTTTACTGTGTTTCCCACCAACACATTTTTGTTTTTTAAAATGTAAAAATTTATTTGATTGGAGCCGATAAAACAAGCCAAATTCCTAAGGATTATAAATCTGGTTCAGCTTATATTTTGATAAAGTAATGTGGTTTCCTCCCATTGTGCTACCATTTCATTTGTACATGAATTAGCTTCACTTGAAACCGTTTTAAGTGATATGTGATATCGTTTCTTCCAACAGTCTAATCAACAATCTAAAGCATGAAAATTCGTAACCTTAATTCTTTCAGCAAATTTCATGACTTTATTTTTGAGAATTAAAGTAGAGACAGTGAAGTCTCTGCTACGAACAATTAGAAGTCATTTAATTTAATTTTAATTTTTATATTAATTTGTAAATGACCCTCTTCTCAAACACTGACATTTTATGTTGTTTCCTTTCTCCATAGCATTAAAAATCTTTTCTTTGTTTCTTAACCAAGTAGATAAGATGTTTTTTGGTATATTATATTATAAAATGGCCTTTGACTTTGGAATGCAATCTTATACTTCCATCAGTGTGTTGTATTTGACTTAAGTTGTAATTGTTGCCATGTTACAAAGTTAGAGTTAAAAAAGTATTCATGGTGTACACTTAAATGATAACATTCAAAAAAGTTTAGCATAAAAATGCTATACAATATCTTCCTTATAATTTGGTAACAAAATTTCATCATAAAATATTAGGCTACTGTTATTTATGTTTTATATGGAATGACTTCAAAAAATAAAATTTTAATCTAGTTAAACTTGATTATAATTTTTTTTTAAGAAGTCAGGGTAATCGAAATAATATTTTACTTTGATTATTACCAACAAAAAGTTAAAGTTATCCAAAGAAATTTTCCAAAATAAGAGAAAAAAATGGTTTAACTTCCTCCCGTTAAGTTGAAACAGCACATTTAAACCAAAGTTCAACTTAACCGGAGAATTTTAATAGTAATCAGTTAGACAATTTCATGGGACCAAATGAAACAGTTCAAGTTAATCGGTGTTTGACTTACAGGGAATTAACTATATATATATACATATATATATATATATATATATATATATATATATATATATATATATATATATATATATATATATATATATATATATATATATGTATATATGTATAGATATATATACATATATATACATATATACATATATATATATATATATATATATATATATATATATATATATATATATATATATATATATATATATATGTATATATATGTATATATGTATATATATGTATATATATCTATACATATATACATATATATATATATATATATATATATATATATATATATATATATATATATATATATATATATATATATATATATATATATATATATATATATATATATATATATATATATATATATATATATATATATATATATATAAAGTATATATAATATCAAACTTCTATAAACAAACTTTACATCGGTATAAGTGAAACATCTTTCAAAATTAGATATGTTAATCCCATAAAATTATTTAATATTATCAGGTATAAAAATGACACTGAGTTATCAAAGGAGTTTTGGAAATTAAAAGAAACTAATTTGAATCCAATAGTTAAATGGAAAATAATTAAGTGGTGCAATGCTAAAAACACTACAAAAAAATTTTGTAATTTATGCTTAAATGAGAATTATGAAATTCTATTCTCTAGAAATCCAAGCTTATTAAATTAAAGGAGTGAAATAATATCTATATGCAAGCATAGAAACAAATTCCTTCGGGCTAATTACAATACTGGTGATTAATCCAGTTTCTACGTTACTTTATGTTTTGTTTTGATGTCAGAACCCATTTTATTGTTGTTTTTTTATTTTGTATTTTTAATGGTTTTCTTGAATAAAAAACATAAATATGACTGATAATTGCCAAAAGGGCATGAAGCTTTAAATTCCATTATAAAGTTGTATTTTTTCATTTAGTTTATTTATGTATAATATATATATATATATATATATATATATATATATATATATATATTATATATATATATATATATATATATATATATATATATATACATATATATATATATACATATATATATGTATATATATGTATATATATATATATATATATATATATATATATATATATATATATATATATATATATATATATATATATATATATATATATATATATATATATATATATATATATATATATATATATATATATATATATATAAATATATATATGTATGTATTTTTACCATTTTATTTAACCATAAAATATGAAAATTTACAATAATATTTTATAAACTCACATAAATAAGGTTAGGTGTAACTCATATAGTTAAAAACTAGTCAATGGAATGACACCTAGAAAAAAAAAAACATAAACAAAAAAATAAAATTAAAAAAAAATAATTTTAAAATTAAAAAAAAAAAAAAAATGAAAAAAAAAAAGCTATAAATGAAACAGAAAAAAATTAAAATAAAGAGGAAAAAAAAAAAAAAAGGAAAGAAAGAAAGGAAAATAAAGCACTCATAAATAAAGATATATTATTAATTGCAATAATAATATAATAAAAATAATAATATTAATAATAATGTGGGTAAAAAACATTACAAATAGTAACTATATCATGATAACTTAACTAAAAATTATAACTAATGATAAAAACTATGGTAAAAATAATTATAGTAAAGTTTGTAACTCTTACAGAAATAATAAAAATAAACATAAAAATTGCAAAAAATAGGACAAAACTATTACTAAAATTGAATCACTATCACTATCATTATAAATAATGTTAATAAGATTTATAAAATAAAGGTAAATTAATGATAATATGAATATTAGTGAAGTTAAAAAAGACAGTATAAAATAAAAGAAATCATAGTTTATAAATACAGTAATATATAAAAAGCAATAGCAATAAAAGATAAAATTAATATTAGTTTAATATATACTCAAATAAAAATTTTTTAATTTGGTTTCGATTGAGAAGAAAAATGTTGGTAATAAAAGGGTATTTAGTTAAAATATTTTTTTTTAAATGGTTTTATTTAGTTCCAGTAAGAAATACATTGATGTTTTATAGAGAGCTTGCTATATTTAATAGTGTTGAAAAAGGAAGTGTGCTAGTTAAAATTTTCAGTATTTCGAATGTAAAATTTGTGTGTTACTTGTTTTAGTAAAAATTATTGAATGAATTTGGTAGTTTATTTTGAATAAAATCAAACACATGAAGCTTTACAAGATCTTGAAATTTTAAAATTTTTAATTCAGAAAACCTGTTTTCGGTATTAGATTGTAAAGGACAAAATGCCATAATTTTTAAGGAAGTGAGTTTTAAACTGTTTATATGATGTAATAGAAAAATACCTTTTTGACCCCAAACAGTGCAACAATAACTGCCTGTGATGGAGAACAATAACTTGACGTGAGGAGAGCAAAGAATAGTAAATTGATATTAGAATATGTTGCGAACATTGATTGAATATATTGCGAACATTGATTGAATATGTTGTGAACATAATGTTGTATTAATGACAGCATACTATTGACATGTGAGAGTTTCTTATTTAATTAAACTAGGTGATAGTACCATGATAGGTTTTTATCTAGAAATTGCCCTAGGTATTTTATATATTTAGATGGGAAAAGTCTTTTACTATAAAAATTCTAATTTTCACATTATTACTATCAATCTTTTTCTTTGGAGTGTGAAAAATAATAAATTCAGTTTTATTGATATTTAGGGAAAGGTGGTTACTATTTAACCAATGACACAAATGATGGAGATCTGAATTAACTTTTTTACAAAGCTGCGTGAGTGATTTATTTATGCATAGAAGATTAGTCAGAGAAATGATGAACAATCAAATTATTTATAGAGTGAGGCAGATCATTAATATGTATTAAAAACAGTATAGGTCCTAGAACAGAACCCTTTGGGACACCATACTTAATAACTTTACTTGTGGATTGAAACCCATTAATTGAGGCAAACTGAGTACGATTGTTAATATAGGATGAAAATCAATCATTAGCAATACCCTGTGTATCATAGTGATACAATTTAGAAAATATTGAAGAATTATTATTAACAAAAAGTTTTAGAATAAAGGTTGAAACACTGTTTGGGCCAGAAGCCCTGCCATCATTTAGAGAAAGAATAACGAATATTATTTCATTTTTTTCAGTAGGTTTAATGAAAATAGAGTCAGGGTTTGAAGTTTTTTAATACTTATGGAAGTCAGTACAAGATGAATGAAAATTTTTTTGCAGTTCTTCAGGGATTGAAATAAAAAAGAAGTTGAAAATTTCCAAAATTTTAACTGGATCATTTATAATGGTATTATTTGAAGATATACAAGGTAGATATGAGATATCATTCGAACATATATTCAAAAGAGTTTTAATACCTTCCATGTAACTCTCAAACTATTTCTATTGGTAGTAAAGTAGTTAAAAACTAGTTTTTTTTTGCTTCTTCAAATTAGTTACAAATAATACGGTAGTGGCGTAGTAGCGCTCATATTTATATTTTTATTATACGTAATTTATAATAAAAATATAAATAATATAAATATGACTAACGTATAATAATAAAATATACAATTATATAGCTAATAATAATGTAATTATTCATATGATAAAATAGATATGTAAAAAAAATTATAATAAATTTAATTAGCTAAAAAAAAAAGTTAATGCAACTTCAAATATAACTGTAAATTGTTAAACTTCTTTAACTATCAACTGTTAAATAGATACATCTGCCATTTGTGAACATCTTGCATCCTTTTGATATATATATATATATATATATATATATATATATATATATATATATATATATATATATATATATATATATATATATATATATATATATATATGTATATATATATATATATATATATATATATATATATATATATATATATATATATATATATATATATATATATATATATATATATATATATATATATATATATATATGTATATATATATATATATATATAGATAGATAGATATAGATATAGATATATTTACTTATACTATCACTTACAGAGACAAATTTACAAAAAAAAAGTATGATTATGGGGACATTTTTGTGTACCTGTAAATTTTTCGTCTCTGTAAGTATACTTTTAGGGAAAGTGAAAACTACATACTATTACATTGACTAAGGTTCGACTAAAGGTCAAGTAGGGTTAGGGCTAGGTTTAAATATGGTTATATTTATGTAAATAATCATTTTTGTAAATGTTTCATTTTTGAATTAGGGTCGGCATTTGGCAATGCCGACTATCGATCTTAACTATCGATCTGAAAGTGTTTGAGGTCAGCAAAAAATTAACAACTTCGTTTCTATGTTTTATGGTCAGGCTTTTGTATCAAATAATTTTTGCTGACCTGATGCCGACCTAAAAAAGATTGAGGTCGGCAATAATTTGCCGACCTCATTTTTCCTAATTCCAAGGGTTGTGTATAATAATTAAATTAAAAAATTAATTTATTATAAACAGATTTTTTTAAATTATTTTAGATAAATAATAATTATTTACAGACTTTATTGTAGTTTAATAACAATAATTTAATAATAATAATATAATAATAATATAATAAGTAGTAATTAATATAATAATAATATAATAATAATATAAAAGTAGTTAATATAATAATTATTCAAAAATATTTTTTTAGTAATGTTCTAAATATGTAAATTTAAATGATCCATATTAGTATGAGACTCCAAAACTAAAAAATTCCAACAACAGATTAGTAGTTTTATACCGCAACAGTAAAAAACAACTAAACAAAAAAACTGGGCTAATAAAAAAATGCAGAAACATTTTTTTATAATAAATAACAAACCTATTAAATGTTGAACAATATAATAATTCATGCTCATCACGTTTTTAAAATAATAAATTATTTTGAAGTTATTATTTTTTAGGTGAGCTCCAAGCTGGAATCCAACCTGTTGAAGTTTTTGTTGATGGGGTTGGAAAATGTCAGCATCCTATTGATAGTATTTTGACATTTGAGTGAGTTTGCTCTTTCAAGTTTTATTTTGAATAAATATTAAAAAAATTTAGGGATGAAAAAAAAAAGAATAGTCTCTTTAAAATTAATGCCTTCCTCAGACTTGACAGATAATTATGAAGTGACTTTTATAATAATTTATAGTAATATGCTGTAAAAAATGATAATTACTTTTACTTTTTAAAATGCATCAGTAAGATGTCTAATAGTGTTGAAAAAATGTGTTTGGTATCCACACAGTGGCTATGCTTACAAAGATTTGCAAAGATTAATTAAAAAATCGCATTATTAGAACTCTAATTTCAATTTTATGTATATTTGCGTTTTGTTTAAATCTCTGATGCAGTGTAGACTCAGTAAAAACTAGTGACTCCAACTATAAAACCTACGTCCACCTTAAAACCTACGTCCACCTTAATCTCTAGAAGATTAGATGAGATGTTTTTCCTAAAATATGCATTTCTAAAATATGCTAGATGCATTTCCAAAATATTTCCATCAATGTTATAAAGTACTGGTTACAGTAAGTAACTCCTTTTAATTACTCCAGGTCAAGTCAGGTTCAGGATCATCACGGTCACTCTGCTACTGGTATCATGTAATCCAGCACAACCTACCCCATGATCTGCTGCATTGTAGGGTGTGCTATTTTAGGCAAAGGCTAGGAGAAAAAAACTCTGACTTAAAAATCCTCTTCCTTGTTGCTCTTGGTTGAGTAAAGGTTTGAGATTGAGGTGTTTCAATAAAAATACTCAACTTAGGCAGATGTTACCTGCATCTAGCTAAAAAGAAATAACATAAAAAATCAAGTAGCTGAAAAAATATGAGAGTATTAAAAGCACTCTGTTAAAGTTTTTGGTGTGAATTGTCAATACCACATAAGGAACCCTACATTACAATTTTGAGTTAATGGGACTAAGACAATTGCATAGCTCATTGCTTGGGATGCCGTACTCTATCTATGAATGAGTCAAGTTCTCTTTAAACTTAAATCATACCAAACTAATTCAAAATATTAAAAATAAAAACCATCTCCACAACCTAACTGTTTTAATATATCTTTTACAAATATTCATTATCTACAAAGTAAATTTTCCATTAGTTGAATCTTACCTCTTGCAAAATTCACTAAACTTGATTGCTCTTTGTGAGGTTAATTTAAGTTTGGCTGTTCCTTCTTCAGATCTCAGTATTGATGGATATAATCCTTTATTTCACAAAGAATACAGTTGTCACATGCTTGGCTTCAGTGAATACTTACGCATGAATATACCTATTTTTCAAGAAATCTTATTTGAATCCCTTGATCATTCTTTTATGCAGTAGCGGATTGAGACTTTTTGGAGCCCTTTTTATGGGCCTAGAGCCTAAAAATGACTTAAAAAAAAAAGGTTCTCTAAAATTTTTGGGGGCCTCTAAATTTGTGGGGCCCGGGGCTATAGCCCCCCCTCCCCTTAATTCAGCACTGCTTTTTTGTTCTTTCGCTTAGCACCTTTTTATTCTATCACCTTTCTCTTTGTTCTTTATTGTTCTCCTTCTTCTTAAGACTGCACTTTTTTAGTTTGATCAAATTCTTCTGATCAAATTGTCTATGACCTTTCTCTATACTCCTCTGCTATTATTGTTGTTATTGGTGACTTTAATTGTTATCACACTGAATGGCTCGGCTCTAGCACCACTGACCCTGCTGGCACTAAAGATTATATTTTCTTTATTTCTCATTCTCGTACTCAGATAGTTAACTTTGTGACTTGTTTTCCAAAAAGTTTTTCTTTTCTCTCCTCTGATAAATGCACCTAGAATCTTCTGGATCCAGGCAGGAATGGAAGTTCTTATTCCTTCTTGTTAGTTCTAAGTCAAGCCTCATTTTACTCCATGGTTTTCACCATCTTGTGCTGGTGCTATATCTAATTGTTATCAATATGGTTTTTGAACCTCTTGCTCTATGGCTGACTTGTTATCTTCTGTAACATGAAGATTTTATTGTGCATCATTTCTTTCCAACCGCTTTATTATAGTCATCCTTGAAAACCTACACTCTTTTTCATTTCCAGTAACTTCTAGGGTACCTCAAGGTTTTATTCTTGGTTCTATTTTGTTTTTTATCAACATTAATGATCTTCAATACAACCTTACATCTAAAGTGACTCTTTTTGCTGGTGATTCAGCTTAATGCTTCTGTTTTGATAAAAAGTCTTCTCTTTTTGATTGCTTAGAACTGATCTTGAATCTAATCTCACTTCTTGATCAGATTTAGGCTTGCAGTGTCTTCTTGATTTTAATTTTAACAAAACTTATTTATTCACTGCAAACAATTAGTGCAATTAATACTGTCAACATTCCTATATTGATGAATAGCAATCCTCTCACTGAGTCCTCTTCTTTACGTCTTCTTGGATTAACATTTACTACAAACCTCTCATAAAAACCAAGTATTCAATCGATTGCTAAATTAACATCTGCTATGGTTGCTTTTGTTTGTCGGGCTTACCATTTTCTTACTCCTGATTCTATTCTCTGCCAAATCTTTTTTTCACTTCTTTATGGAAAGCTGTTGTCATATTTGGATTGGTTTGTCATATTTAGGTTTACTACTAATGATGCTCTTTCTCTTTAAGACAAGGTCCAAATACACATTGTAAATAAAGTTGAACCCGCTCTATCTGCCATATTTGAGCCTCTCTCTTATCTTTTTTGTTGTTACATCTCTTTTTCTTTTCTACAATTACATCATGTTCTTTTCTCAAAGGAGCTATCAACTCTAGTTTCATTAACTAAACTCATTCTTTTTGACTAGACATTCAGCAACACCTCATTCTTTTTGTGTATCTGTTCCTGCATGCTCTAAAAACTTTTATTTATCTTTTTTTCCCCCAAACTTAAATCTTTTGGATCACTTTTCCATCTTCATATTTTCCTAACTCATATAACCTTCAACTTTTTAAGCCTTCTGTCAACCATTTCTTTCTCTTTAACTGTATTTTTTTTTCTAGTAATTCTCAACTTAATAGTGGTTGCTTGCAGATTTGCTAGGAGTGAATCTAAATAAAAAACAAACTTAATATCAATTTTTTAATTACAATGTGTGCATACATCATATGTATAACGCTGTATTTTGGCCATTATGTTTGTATAATATTAAGCTTGTTAAGGGTTTATTAAAAAGCATTTAATACATACTCAGCATCTAGCTTATTAAAAAAAGTTATTAATTTAAAAGTTGTAACTATAAATTATAATCAGTGCCGTTGAGATGGGGGCTACTGGGACCGTTTGTCCCAGGCAGCAGATATCCAAGGGGCACCAAATGAAGTGTAGGTACCTTAAAAAAAAGAAAAAGGTCCTTCATATATAATATAGGAAAATTTGATAAATAAGGGTGCCAATCAGGATTACTGTCCCAGGCGGCGTGACAGCTCTTGGCAGCCCTGATTATAACTATAAATTAAGAATTACTTTTTTAATGATTTATATTTAAATTACCTTTAGATATCAATTTAGTGTAAGTAAAATATATCCTGAACAAGGTGCAACTACGGGTGGGTTACCTATCACAATAGAAGGTTTTGGTTTTGGAAATAGTATAATTGGTGTGTCAGTATCATTGGGATCCTACAGCTGCTTTGTTACAAATGTTACAATGTATAAAATAATTTGCATAACAGAAAGTGGAAGTAATAATACAGTCGATCTGAATGTAAGTTGGAAATTCTTTTTTTGAATAAAATAGTGTTTATTTATAAACACCTATTTGATTTGTATATGGTTTTCAAATGTGAATAAGTAGATATAACTATAGAGAAAAATGCTAATTTTGTGATGTAAGTATCATTAATGTAAGTATGAAGTATCAAAAAAAAACTAGTATTGCTAAGTTTTTTGCTGAAAAAGTTGGTCTGTAAAAGAAGAGCTTCATTTAGAAAATAAAACAGAAGCAGTGTTTAAAGTTGTAAAGCATTTGTAGTTTATCTACAGTTATCGAAATGAGTGGGTATGAAAAACTTTTTACTTATAATAAAACCTATTGTATTTATAATAATTTGGAAGAAAATGATTTTATGATAAAACCTAAAATAGCATTAGTTTTACCTGTTATTTTATGCAGATGATTTATGTTTGGTTAGAGAGACAGTAAGGCTTTTTTTTGGGTACAGAATGAATACTTTTGCACATAGCTGTATTTATTACAATGAATAAAGCTATGTACAAAAGTTTAATTAAGTTATTAACTTCAATAAATTTTTTCTGTTTTTTTATTTAAAAAAAATTGTAAAATAAATTTATCTAACTATTCTTTTAATTTCAAAAATTAATATTAGATAAAACCAGTGATGTGCTGCTAAAATTCTAAAAACCAGCTCTCACATACTTACATTAATCCCCTTACTCCTGTAAAAATTTTTTATACAAATGTTAATTTTATGTACAACATACTACAAAACTATTTATTTCAAAACTATTCCAAATTTTGGTTAACAGTAAGTTAATGTTCAGTCTCTGCAGATCTTAATGCAATTGTGTTAATAATGTTTTTTGTTCTTTTGACCGTTTTAAGCAAAAAATGACAAAATATAAGTTAAGTAAATGGTTTACATTCGTTTTTTGAAAATTCGTATCTCTGAGTCTTATTTTTTATTAATCATTAAATTAACTTTTTAAAAGGAAGATTTAAAAATCAATATTTTCATAGGTATAAGTTAAGATTTTATGATCTACACAGTGTTCATAAATTCTAAGTTTTTTATAAATTGCTTGAAAGCAGATTTTTTTTCTTATATTTATTATCTTAGTACAGTTCTTAACATTCAGCTTTTGCAAAATTTTGTGTTCTTGACTGGAAAGCTTTGAAAAAAAATGATAATTCATTTAAAATATATCATCAGCCCTAAGTCTCATAAGAAACATTTGTTTCTTAGACATGACATTTGTTTCTGAGACATGATGCAATTCTAGAGTCTTTTGTTTTTTGAAAGTTTATTGTACAATTTAGGGTATGAAAACTAGACAACATGAGCTGTCTCCAAACTGCAAGCAGTCCATCTTGGTTCCAAAACTCCTCGTAACATAGCTAATTTTTCTTATTTTTAACATTGCATTTATTCAAAATAATTAGATGCTCTTATTGACTTACACTTACATTACTTAGAATATTGCATACATTTTGTCAAGAAATATTTTGAAATAACACAGGTCAACAGAAAAATATTTTCCCTTAAAACGTATAATAAATGTATAATAACGTATAATAAACGTATAACAAATGTATAATAAAACGTATAATAAATGTTTAATGAATATTTTCCCTTAAAAGGTATTGACAAAAAAACAATGTGAAAAAATGCTAAAAACTTAAAAAAATTTAAACAAAATGTTTCTCAGCAATAATACAAAAAGTATTTATTTTTATTACTTATTACATTTTTAAATTCTCTATGAAAATACACTTTTTTTGAGACCCAGGTTGACATATTTTTGAATAACTTTTTTTTTTTAAATATTAGGGATTTTACCCCATATACTAAAGATTTGAATCCAAGTATCTTTAAAACTTGACGTGATCGTGAAAAATGAATTGCATATTTAAAATCAAAAAAAGTAATGCTATAAAAAAAACTAATTGTTTGCTTGGCAACAGAAAGAATTTTTTTTTTGTTGACCTGTGTAATTTGTTAATGTTTTTTATAATCATCTAAATAAAGTAGTTATCTTTGATTTAAGCAGTACTAAATAATAATGTTAGGAAAACTCTTGCATATTTTTGTGCTTACGCTTGATTTACATCCAAGCATAGTACTTGCTCCATCAGAAAAAAATGTCATTAGCTTCCACTTTTAAAAATATGGCAAAAACTGATTTACTAGAAATAGTAAATGCATCATTGATGATTATTCATAGTTTTATATTTTTAATAACAACAGTTTATTTATATTAATAACAATAGTTTATATATTATAATGTTCAAACAAAAAATAATCTCTAAATTAAAAAATCTCTTTAATTCACTTGAAGATATGTTTGGCAATTTCTGGGCTGCAGAATATTGTGAATACTAACTATTAGATATATTCCATTTTTAATTTGAAGTTCAACTTTTTTTTTCCATAGCAACAAGCTGTCTTTTTTTTTCATCTGATGAAATTTTAAATTAAAAAAAAAGACATTTTTTTTTAGGTATGAAGTCTTATCATACTATTTATTGTTAATAATTTAGTTCCTACACAATAAAAATACTCCAGTTTTTTATCATTTGCAAAAAAGCCATCATTACTACCTTCATTACTTTGCTACAAATAAAAAAATTTAAAAATTCATTTACTCAAACATTGCAATTAAATGTTCAAGTTTATAAATTTTTTTTGTGTAAAGATAATGCCTTAGGTGATAATAAATTACTAAATTGTTTTTAAATTGAAATTTGTAAAATTTTTGTAAAATATAATTTAACATGAATTATATCATACAAAAATTTAAAAAAGTTAACTTAAATTAAAAGCAGAATTAGAAACCATTAAACATTGAAAAAAACCTTGTTCTTACTTACAAGATCTCTGCTTAAATTTCAATTAGATAAGAATTAATTGAGTATTTGAGCTTTTTGTTATCACCCTAACATTCATTTTGCTAGTTCCTAATATGCTAGTTTTGCCACAGTTACTAATCTTCAACTTGTCAGCTCCTAATCCAATAGTTTGTCATTTAATGCTTTCTGAACTGATTTTTGACACATTTATACTTGAATAAAGAATAAAAATATTGCAAATTAATATCTGATAATTTTCAGCACTTAAAAAATTGTTTTGTAAATTTGTGTTTTTTTTAAATTGAGCATAATAAGTGCTTAGCATCAGTTAAAACTTTTTAAAATTATGGAAGATATATCAATAAAGGTGAATACTTTAAAGAATTAAAGTAAACAGAACATACCTTCTGTGTGTTATAACTTATAGTAGTGAAACATAGGTTAAGACACATAATATACCTCTAGTTTGTTACAATTTATAGCAGTGAAACATAGCTCAAGAAAGTGGAAGATATCTATTATATGTTGTTACAGCTTATCTATTATATGTTGTTACAACTTAAAATACTCATAACATTATTATAATCTTACCAAGATATAATTGTTACAACTTTGGCAAAAATCAGCAGTGCAACTTTATTAATGATAATGATGATTATAATGATAAATATGTTTATTTTTTCAGATTGTTATTAATGGAAAACAGATGAAAGGAGGGAGTTTTACTTATAATTCCTCACTGAATCCAATTATTAGCAGTGTTTCACCTGAAAGTATTCATGTTTATGATGAAATAGTTACAGTGAAAGGATCAGGCCTAAGTTCTACTAATGGAGAAAGTACTTTGATCACTTTAAATAGAAAAGGTTGCGAGGTTATATCATCGACATCAAATGAAATTAAGTGTCGTCTTCCATCTTTGGACTCACTCGAGGTTTTACTTACTGTTTTTGTACCTGGTGCTGGTTCAGTTTCTTTTCAATTATCTGTTGATTTAAAATTTGATAGTTTTTTGCCGAATACTGGTTCATTTTATGGTGGAACAAAAATGACATTGAATGGAAGAGGTTTTGGTGAAAATGCTTCTGTTGTTAATGTAAGCTTCAGTGGTAAAAAATGTGGTGTACAGAGTTGCGCTGACAACAAAATTGTTTGTATAACATCAAGTTTCTCCAACACATTTTATGTTGACAACTTTGATAGAGGAGGTAAGTTTACTTTTTATTACAAAGTTTTTAAAATGTTATTGAATATACTAACTGAAATATAAATAATTTTTAATAAACAAACAAATTTCATTAGCTTAGACAAAATGGTTTATTGGCCATTTTCATTTAGTTATATTGTTCTTTTTGCTTTTTGCTTTTTTTTTTTTTTATATGTAATTATATGCAATACATTCACTGAAAAATATTTAATTGTTGAATACTCTCACTAAAATATATTTATTTTTTAATAAACTAAGAAACCTCATTAGTTTATTGAATATACTTATTGGAATATATTTAATTTTTAATAAACAAACCTAATTAGACAAAATGAATAATTAATCTTCTTCATTTAGTTATGTTGTTTGTTTTTCTCTCTTGGCTCTGGAATTACAATCAATAACTTTAAGCAAATAGGACTGAGAGACATTTAACATTTAAATTATCAAAGTGAACTTTTTTGCATAATTTACAATGCAATAATTTATGATGATATTTTTTAATTTTATACTGTGATTATTTTTGTAGTAGCATGTGGTTCACTACAAAATAACATATTTTTCACTAGCTAACACAACATTAACTTTATAGGTTAATAGACACTTATTGTTGTATTTAATAATATCAAAAGTCTTTATAAAATAATTAATTGTTAATCTTAAATTTTTATTTCTGGTATTTCATTTTCAGAAACATAAACGGTATAACAAACACAAATCATATTTCTTTATTTAAAAGAGCACACAATCTATTTTTTTTTTAATAAAAAAAAAATATTTTTTTTAATGTTCTTTTAAATCATTTAACTTTTAAGTTGGAAGATTTAAATCTTTAACTTCTTGAGTTTTTAAATTTTTTTCAATTTCTTTTTATGTTTATATTATTTATGCTTTTTTAACTTATGTTTTTAACTTTTATGCAGTTTTAACTTCGTTTTATGTTTTTCAATTTTTAGCTCTTTTAGCTACTTTTTTTTGTATTTAAGAGTCTTTTTTCATGTTCAAAATTCAAAGTTTAAAAAAACAAACCTTGAATTAAAGTCCATTAAAACTACCAATTATGCTTAGTTTTTTATTTAAATTTTTATTTTTTTTAATTTTTAATTCTCTTTACATTTTTCATTCTTTTTTATTTTTGTATTCTTTTACATATATTTTCAGTTATATTTTAGTAATGCAAAATCTGTTAAATTTTATTTAACAGTCCAAATTTAAAGCCCTATCAGTTTAAAACATTTAAATTACACTTAACAGCTCAAGTCCTATCATTTTAAACCATTTAAATAATATTTAATTTGTCAGCATTAATTAAAATATTGATATACAAGCCCTATCAGTATAAACCATTTATATAACACTTAATTTGTCAGCATTAATTAAAATATTCGATAGTTCTAAATATTTTAATTCTAATTATTTTATAATTCGAATATTCTATATTCTACTCAAAGTAGACTTAATGTTTACTTTGAGCCAAAGCTCAAATGTTCAGTTTAACTCAATTTAACTTAATTGAGTTAATTTAAATTTTTTTTTTTTTCAACAAACAACACACAGATGTTGATACTTGTTACCAGTTCAGTAACATTTTGATGGTTTTTTTATCTGTTTCACCATTTATATTTTTATACTATACATTTATACACCAAGCATACTTTAAAATGGCTTCCAATTCAATTTGATTTTCATAGCCCAGCCCATAGACAAAGGCAGTTTTGGTTATAGAGTGTACTTCTCTTGGTCCTAATTATTTCTTGGTCCAACAATTAAGTTGTAATGTTTTTATAAACCAACATATTTGGTATTGCAACTAAGCTGTTTTTAGATTAGTCTCAGCATAACCTTTTAGTGTAGAGTACTAAAAAGTTATGCTGAGATCTTATCACAAATAGTTTATAAAAAAGTATTATTGATTTTTTGCTAAGAGAACTTGCAACAATTGCAAAAAATGTTCTTACCTTATGTGAAAATTGAGATGTTGAAACAGAATTAAGAATGTCTTTGATAGTACTATCTTCAAACTAGTAAAATTCATAAAATCAGGAGAAAAATGATTAAAGTTTGCATGTAGACCAAGAAGTCTAGAGAAGCCACCTAAATAGCTGCATACAGAATGGAAATTGCGCACCCCATTCTTCCAATTAATATGGATGAATAACAAAAGGTAAGAAGATGCTTTTAAACATAAATTGTATATTGGTGGTGGAGTTGAGTTTAATTACCTTCATCATCAGGACTATTGATGTGACTATCTTTTTCAGTGATTACCGCTAAAGTGGTTTGTTTCAGAAATGATTGAAAAAAGCTTAAAAGCTTGTTGATGAGTCTTAAAAGAACTAAAATGTAAGAACAAGCAAATTACTGACAACAATATATTTATTAAAAAACCCAGGAATGTTTCAAAAATTTAAAAATAAATTTTTTTCTATGCAATTCTACTACTAGAACTGTATTTCCAGAAAAAAAGTTGAAATAATTTAGTAGCAAGATGAAGACAAGAGAAATCTTATTAAATATACTATTATCATAAAAATCCCTTAAGGGTTGTCCATAAATTACGCCACGCAGTTTTTAACATTTTTTGACCCCTCCTTAACTCCCCTCCCCTCCTCCCCCCTCCTTAAAACGCAAACGTAACACTTTATTGACCCCCCACCTCAATATTATGCAACAATTTTGTACTTCCCCCCCTTCCCTAAAAAAATTTTTTTTTAAGTTTTTTAGAGAGGATAGGAGGGGATGCAAAATTTTACAAAATACAAAACAATTTTAAATATAATTATGTCTATAATTCTCTGAGCTTCTTTGAGTTAATTAATTAGTACTTTTTAGTCTGTATAATGTTTTTTTTTCACCCCAATAGTTCTGTGTAAAATTGTATAAATTAACATCGCTCTCGTAAAAATGATACCAATTTTAAAAATCTATTTTTCCGATATATAATATATGCCAAATATTATATATATAAAATATTTAATAAATAAAAAGATATTATACATGCAAAAATATTAATTTATATATCCAATTTTCTGTCTACTAGAAACTTAAGCGTGGTCGAGTGGATTCTGCCTCCGGCTAGTACATCGAGGGTTCAAGGTTCGTTTCTTGGTATTGAAAAGTTTTTTTTTTTAATTATTACACAAAGATTGTTTTTTTGTTGCTGCACACTTTTGTGCACCAACTAAATAAAGTTCTGCACTTGAACCATATAAATTCAAAGCGCAGAACGTGCACTGCACAAACAGCTATAACAATCTGTTAACAGGCTGTAACCATTAACAGCCTACTCCTCCCCCTCCCCAAGCTTGACGTAATTTATGGACGATTCCTTAGTGGTGGAGAAAAATAGTTTGGTCAGATACTTTGGTATAATATAGTTTGGTTTGAAAAATAGTTTGGAGATACTTTGTTTTTTTTAAAAAAGTGGTGGAGAGTATGAACCTAGTGTATGGAGTTAACAAATAGTTTTAGAGAAACTCTACTCAATGATCTAAAAGAAATTTTTAATTTTTTTATTGGGTCAGATATCAAAACAAAAAGTATAAAATCTATTGATTTAATTTCTTAATTTCAACCTAATTTCTCCACGCAGCGGTCTTGCTGGTCAAGGTTCGTGCTTCGGAGTTAAAGAGTTGCCTTGGGGAGGTGAATAATAAAAAAAAAAATTTCTTAAAAATTCATACAAAAAAAACTACTGCACATTGTTCTTTTTTATAAACCAGTGAGAACTTGTGGCTATATTTGTGGCACAGATTTTTTTACCTATAATTACACAATAATTATTATTTAAGACTTGTTTTTAAATATATATGAATTTAAATAAAAAAAAAAAATTTACTATAGAAAACACGCATACTTTGACAAGAAAACTTCTTTTTAGCTTGTGGATATTTTTAATGCATAATTACTATGCTGGACTTGTTAAAATGTTTTTTACTACATAATTTAAAACTATTTACATAACTTTTTTAAAATAAATTTTATAATACTAGTAAAATTTAATTGGCTATATATTTAATTTAGTCCCTGCTGGTACAGCTTGGAGTAGAAATACTATCAACATCAATAAGGGTGACTCAATTAAGGTTTGTTATAATTTTGAAAATGTTCATAGTATAAAACCATTGATAGTGTGCATATGATATTGCGTACATAAGAAATGTGATGTCATACTGAAATATATAATTATTATATTTAATCTTATACTTATTATCTCATTGAAAATGCAAGGGAGTGCTGATATTTTCATTTTAATGGTTTGTTTTTACTATAACGATTTTTGTAACTATTTTATTTATTATACCTGATTACGCTGATCACAATAGGTCAGCAAAATATCAAAATAATTTTATATTAAAGAAAAAGTACATATATATTTAAAAAAAAAGTTTATACGCAGCCGTATTTATTGAATTCTAACCATATTTTAACGTATAACAAGAAAATGACATTTAAAGATTATATATATATATATATATATATATATATATATATATATATATATATATATATATATATATATATATATATAAATATGGCTGCGTATAAACTTTTTTTTTTAAAATATATATGTACTTTTTCTTTAATATAAAATTATTTTGATATTTTGCTGATCCATTGTGATCAGCGTCATCAGGTATAATAAATAAAATAGTTACAAAAATCATTATATTAAAAACAAACCATTAAAATGATAACATTAAAAAGCCAAAATACAATACAGAAAAAAAAACTATTCAAATAACTGATGTCAGCAGATTTTATTAAAAAATGGCCCCCAGGTTTTGGTTGTTACGTTATCACTGTCAGCCCGATTGAGAACCACGTCACCATTTCTCAATTCCTGTTGAACCCTAGCCTTGCTTATTTTGAGTGACTCTCTGATTTTCCGAGTTCAATATTCTGGGGCTACAGATGATGTTTTGGGGTGCAACCAATCAAACTTACCATGGCATGTTTTAGAATGTTCAGTTTTACCCGAACTTGACCATTTTCCTTTTAAGCTGTTTTTTTGGTGTTCAATACATCTCGATATCACCTTTTTTTTAGCTTCGCCAATGTATATCGAACCGCATGAACATTTTAGCTGTTATACGCCAGGGTCTGTGTTTAGTGGTAATTTAGTTTTATTGTTGCAGAAAATATTTTTTAAATTAGGGGTTGATGTGAAAATAACCTTTATGTTTTGCTTTCGAAATTCTTTACGAAGTTTTGGACCAACAATTGGTATCCAAGGTAGTTTTATTTTAAAGGGTTGGGTATCTAAGGGTTGAAATGTGGTGTTTTTTAAACTGCTTTTTAAATAGTCTATAGTAATATTATGTAGAATATTCTTGTTGTGGCCATTTTCAACAAAGATGTCTATTAGAAAATCAATTTCTTTTTGAAGGTGTTTTTAAGAGCATATTCTTTTAGCACGAAATAAAAATCCTTAGAAAACGCCAATAACAATGTTAGGATTAATGTTCGAGCTTTTTTTCTATGTATTTGTTATTTCATCAGTTATTTGAATAGTTTTTTTTTTCTGTATTATATTTTGGCTTTTTAATGTTATCATTTTAATGGTTCGTTTTTACTATAACGATTTTTGTAACTATTTTATTTATTATACCTGATGACGCTGATCACTATATGATTGGCGAAATATCAAAATAATTATATATTAAAGAAAAAATATATATAATTAAAAAAAAAAAAGTTTATACACAGCCGTATTTATTGAAATTTAACCATATACATTATATATGTATATATATTTATATATATATATATATATATATATATATATATATATATATATATATATATATTTATATTTATATATATATATATTTATATATATATATATTTTATATATATTTTCGATCCCCACCACGTTCCTGGTAGTACCGCGCTCAACTTGTTTCTCCGCGCAGCGGCCTTGTTTGTCAAGGTTCGTGTTTCGGAGTTACGAGAGGGTTATAGCCACAAATAAGTAGCCTCCTCGTCTGTAGTGGCCTTCTCAGCCTTGAGGAGGTGAATTAAAATTAAAAAAAAAATATATATATATATATATACATAGATATATATAAATACATATATATATATATCGCATAGGATAGTGCATAACCACATAACTAGAATTGGCTACTATAATTGGATATTAGTAATTTTAACACCAAATATCTATTGCTGACATTGCAAAAATCATGAATAATACTGTTTATACTAAAAGGAGCCCAAAAACTGTTGAAAATAAAAAATAATAAAGTTTTAAGCCTCTCCAGTAATAATAAAGTTTTAAGCCTCTCCAGTGAAAAATCTGTAATGCAGATATGCAAATTTATCTAATGCTAGTTACCTAATTTTGCACTATCCCCAACAATATATACATATATATATATATATATATATATATATATATATATATATATATATATATATATATATATATATATATATATATATATATATATATACATATATATATATATATATATATATATATATATATATATATATATATATATATATATATATATATATTTATATATATATATATATATATGTATATATATATATGTGTATATATATATATATATATATATATATATATATATATATATATATATATATATATATATGTATATATTTATATATTTATATATATAAATATATATATTTATATATTTATATATATATATGTTTTGCGTTTTTTTGCAAAAAAAAATTATAGTTGCCATAAAAATCCAAATTGGCGCCCTAATATGGTTGACGCTATCGAAAACAGTCAAGAATAGCCCCTGATATTTATATATATATAAATATATATGTATATGAACATATATATATATATATATATATATATATATATATATATATATATATATATATATATATATATATATATATATATATATAGTATATATATATATATATATATATATATATATATATTTATATATATATATGTATATATATATATATATATATATATATATATATATATATATTATATATATATATATATATATATATATATATATATATATATATATATATATATATATATATATATATATATATATTATTAGTTAAATTTACGACTTAGCTAACTAAAAATATAGCTTTTTTGTTAAATTTAGAAGATATTGACTTTTTTTTTAAACTTTTATGTGAAAAGCTAATGGTGACACTTTTGTCACGAATGAAAGTAATTAACATGTTTGTCCACAGTTAATTAGGCATATGACATAAATTAATAGCCTTATGACTAAAATGATTGCGTTATCAACTTTTCACAGATTTTTAACAATTAAATATCATTTAAAGTTTGATTTTGTTTATAAACCATAAAAAAAGTATTTTTATTATCATCATGAGGAAAATAAATTTTGAACTAGAAAAAAATTATGCGGAAAGGCTTAAATCCGGACAATATTATCGAGAAATTGCTGCTCAGAAAATCTTATAATCTCATATATAAAATCAAATTGCACAATAATTTAGAAGTAAATTATTGTGCAGTTTGATTTAAAGCCTAAAAGTGGGCAAAAGAAAATTTTTACACTAAGAGATCAAAGAACAATTGCTCGTTTTATTGCTTCTGGAGAGTCTAAAACTGCATAAGATGTTACTAATATAATGAATAACAGCTATGGGACTCATGCTTCAGTGTGGACAGTCAATAGAGAGCTCAAAAGAATTGATTTTTGATCCAGAAGGAAGATCAAGAAGCCATTGTTAGTTTCTTGTCACCACCAAGCTCGTTTTTTTTCTTTAAATTATGCTAAACTTCATGCACACATGACTTTTGATGACTTTTATGAATAGATTTAAACAGATGAAAGTAAAACTAATATGTTTGGATCAGATGGTATAAGATATACTTGGAGAAAGCCTAATTCACCATTAAGTGCTCTAGATTTTATACCAACCATTAAATATGGCAGAGGAAAACTCTTGTTTTGGGGATGTTTCTGTGCTCGAGGAGTTAGTGAATTAGTGAAATTAATGGAATAATAAACGCTGATGACTATATCAACATCCTTAAGTTCACATATTTCAAGTCTCTTTGAAAATGGGGTAGAACTGTATGTAACACGATGTTCATGCAAGACAACGACCCCAAGCAAAAGGCTGATAAGACCATTAAATTCCTTAACGAGAAAAAATTGAAAGTTGTTAACTGGCCAGCACAAAGCCCTGATCTTTACCCACTCGAAAATTTATGGGCAATAGTTAAACAACGGGTCTACAATTTTCCTACTCCACCTAAGAATAAGGATGAACTTTGGGTTCGTGTAAAAGAGTTTTGGTACTCAATTACACCCGAAAAATGCAGCAAATTGGTTGCTAGTGTTCCTAAAAGAATTCAGGCTGTAATTAAATTTAAGGGAGGATACACTTGATGTTAATTTACTACAATATATTATTTGCTTTCATTTGCGACAAAATTGTCACCATTAGCTCTTCACATAAAAATTCAAAAAAAAGTTCAATATCTTCTAAATTTAATAAAAAGCAATATTTTCAGTTATCCAAGTCTTAAAACTAAAATTTCATTTTTCTTCATAGCTTTTCTATTTAAAATAATATAAAATATTTCTTTGTTCAAACATGATGACAATTTTGGCACATACTATATATATATATATATATATATATATATATATATATATATATATATATATATATATATATATATATATATATATATATATATATATATATATATATATATATATATATATATATATATATATATATATATATATATATATATGTATATATATATATATATATTTGTAAAATGGTGTAGTCAAAAGTAATATATATTTATTATAAGGAGTTGTTTGTTATTTAGTTTTCTTGGAAGTCGAACCCTGACTTAAGTTATTTTATCTCAATTATAAGATACCCTATAGACAAACCAGAAAATGCAGAGCTTCTATGTCATGGTGGATCTTCTGGTAGTTGCACTGTAACTTATACTACTATTGGAACATTTGTTTTTTCAAGTGGAAAATTTATTAAGAATAAAAATGACGAATTCAAAGGAATTGTTGTAGTATCACCATTGCCACAAATGCAAAGTGGTATATTGCTATCAATCAAAGGTAAAATTTAAAAAAGTTTTTATTATTTCCTAAAGTATTTTAAAACTACTTTTCCAAAACTTTTACGTGTTGTAGGTATTGTTGTCCAATTACCTTCTGGTCGAAAAAAAAGAGATATTTTCTCAAACAACTTCTTAACCCCAACTTCAAGTGTGGAAGTGATAGGAATCAATAATGTTGCTTCATGTTCAAGTATCCATATTATAGGTATTGGATTTAGCACTACTGCTGAGAATAACATTGTTAAGTTTGGAGATTTTTTGTGTGTGGTAACATCTGCTAATTCTCTAGAGATTTATTGTGATCTTAATAGAAATCCTGTTCGACCAACAGCTATGAGATTACCTATAACATTATCTGTTGTAGATTTTGGTAATGCAAATATTGATATAACACAGGTAGCAGACCAATCAGTCATTTGTTTTCCAGAAACCCAAACTATAAGCCCAAAGTATGGCTCAATTGCTGGTGGCACAACAGTTAATATCATTGGTTTTAATTTGAACTTACCTACCACAAATGTTTATATTAATTTCAATAAGTTATTAATTTGTAGAAAGGTGTCTCAGTCCTTCTACAACTTATTATGTGTCATGCCTCCATTGCCATCAATATCATCTCAGCAATCAAGTGCTATAATTTCTGTTTGTGATGATTCTGAGTCACAAGATAATTGTTTTAATAAACCTTTTCTTAACTTTGATTATCAAATGAGTAGTACTCCAGAGATTATATCTATTGCACCTACTACTATCCAAACTTCTAGATCATCAATTCAAATTTCAGGTAAAAAGTTTGGTGATGTATCAAATGTACTTGTTCAGATCGGCCCTTCAAACTGTAATATTATTAGTTTAACTACTCAAAATGATACACAAACAATAACATGTGTTGTCAGTTTACCAGCAGGTGTTTATAGTGTAAATGTTTTTAATTCAGATTATGGAAATTCATTAAACGCAGCTAATCTTATGGTTACTAGTTTAGCTGTGTTGAATAGTATTATGCCAACTAGTGGCAGCATATATGGAAAAACAACTGTTGTAATTAAAGGAAATGGTTTTTGCACAAATATGCAGGTGAAGTTTGACACTCTTGATGCAACTGTTCAAAAAAATACAATTGATGAAGTTGTTGTTTTAACTCCTCCACGTATTGCTTCAACTGTAACAGTCTCATTGTATTGCAGTGGTAAAAGTCTTGTGTTTGGATCATTTATATATGCTTCCTCATCGACTCTTTCAATAACAAATATTGTACCTAATTCTGGAAATGGAGGAGATGAAGTTACTATAAATATTAAAGCAGCATCATTTGATAATTTAACAGTTTTAGTATCAGGAAATAGTGCAAACATTACAAATATTACAAATATTAATGTAACAGATGGATCTGCATCTGTAAAATTTATTTTGCCAATAAGTGCTGCAGGCCCAGTTTCTGTTGCATTCATAGTTCCTTTACTTGGATTGTCTAATCAAGTTCAGTTTACATACAATTTAACAGTTTTAAGTGTAAGTCTTTTAGAAAGTGGTTATGGAGGTGGTCATTATGTTGATATTTCTGGTAATGGGTTTAGCAATGCAAGTAGCGTGTATATATGCAGCAATCAATGTACTCAAACTAATGTTATTTCAACCCAGATGTTAAACTGCAGAATACCTCCATATACACCCTCAAGTTCTCCAACAACAGAGTGTAGCATTATGGTAAGTGTTCAAGGTTTTAACTTTACATTTGGTCAAAAGTATGTCTATAAAGCATCACTTACATCTTCATTAACTAGTATTTTACCAATTCGAGGAGGAACTGGTGGTGGAGTAAACTTGACTATTTCAGGAACTAACTTTGATCTAAGTTCCCAGGTAAAGATTGCTGGTGTCGTTTGTCAAATAAACTCTATATCAAGCTCTCAAATTATTTGTCGCTCTGGTCCATCTAATAAAACAGTACAAAATTCAGCAGTTGAAGTTTTTAGCAATAAAAATGGTTTAAGTTTATTTGGTAGTGTCTCTTTTTCATATATTGATGTTTGGAGTTCAAAATTTACATGGGGAGGAAATGATCCTCCTGTTGAAGGTTAGATTAGCTTTTTAAAATTTATTGTAAATTTTTTTGTTTTTTATTTTTATTTTGTTATTTTTATTGTTTAAATATCTTAGGTGCCTTAGTTATTATTCAAAAAGGTCAAACTATGTTGCTTGACGTAAGTACTCCAGTACTAAAAGTATTGCTAATTAAGGGTGGCACTTTAATTTTTGATGAAAAAGACATAGAACTGCATGCTGAAAATATTTTAATAGTTGAAGGTGGCGTATTTTTAGTTGGTTCTGAAGACCAACCATTTCAACATAAAGCTATTATTGAACTTCACGGACATGTTAGATCTGTAGAGCTTCCTGTTTATGGTGCAAAGTCATTAATTTTGCGTCAAGGTTACCTTGGTTTGTATGGAAAACACATTATGAATACATGGAGTCGAATTGCAAAAACTGTGAATCCTAATGATGTTGAAATGGAACTTATTTTTGAAGTACCTGATTGGAAAGTAGGAGATGTTATTGTTATTGCTGCTACAGGAAGAAGCATTAGAGAGAATGAAGTACTTACAATAACAAAAGTTAATGGTAAATTTGTATCTTTTGACCCACCTTTGAAATATATGCATATTTCAGTCACACAGTTCATTGAAGGAAGGTATATAGAAACCAGCGCTGAAGTTGGTTTACTATCTCGAAATGTCATTGTTCGTGGTTCAAAAAATGAACAATGGAATGATGTAATTGTAAATTGTCCAGATGATTTTGACCCAGGACAGTTTGCAACACAAACTTGTTTTGATGGTCGATTTGGCGAAGAGCGTGGCAGTGATCAGTTTGGAGTTCAAATTATGGTACATTCAAATAAAATGAGTGAAGGAACAGCTGTTGCCCATTTTCATTATATTGAAGTTACAAATGCAGGTCAAGCTTTTCGTTTAGGTCGTTATCCAATTCATTTCCATATGGAAGGAGATGTGAGTGGTTCATATGTAAAAGGCTGTGCTATCCATCGAAGTTTTAACCGAGCAGTAACAATGCATCATGTTAACAACTTAGTTGTGGAGAGAAATGTTATCTATGATATCCTAGGTACTTTTATTTAATTTATATATTTTTAAAGATTTTTAAGCATGATTAACAATTAATCATAACTAGCAGTAAACAACCCATAATACGGGTTGTTAGTAAATAAATTATTAATAATACGGGTTATTAGTATCATTAATATCAATTTATTATTTTCTCTAATGAAATACAAATTTATTTTATATATTTTTAGTTCTGCTCACTTTTATTGTTCTCGACTCCTTAATATAACTCTTAGCTTCATTTATAGATACAATTAACCAATTTATTTTGAAATGTTAGAACATTTTGCGCTATTCACAACAAACTAAATATATTATGACTTAAATTATATGCATAGAAAACTATCCATGTTTTATTTTAAATTTGCGGTAAAATGTTTAGGCAACTAAGTTGTTTATGATTCTTTTTTACAAAAAGAATTTTTCTTACTTTTTATAAAAGTGATAATTGAAAAGCTTAAAACATCACAAATATCACTAAAATTATACCTAATGTGTATTAGGTATTATGTGTATTAAAATTGTTTTGGATATCCGGAAAGAATATAACTTTATAAAATATATCAGAAATTACACAAAAAACCAATCACTGTATATGGCTCCCATATTGTTAATGCTTATTACTTTAGCTTTCAAAATACGGTAAGCAAATATATCTATTTACTTCATAGGTAACATATATCAACATATATTTATTTCAGCATTCATCTCATCCAAGTTAATACTAACGCAGTAAATATTTAGCGAAAGTCGGGAATGCATTTTGCCTTGAGTTTGTCTTACCTTTTTTTTATATATTTTGTATAGGTCAGGTGAAATAAAAACAATTGCTTTTACTCAACTTTTTTGAAGTAATTGTTACGCTTTACATGAATTCAAATTTTTAATTTAGCTGAATTAACTTAGGTGGCTTACTTAATTTACGTGAATTTAAACTTTTAACCTACCTACCCAATATTTTATGATTTTTTTTCAATTTAGTGTCTCCTTTCTTACCCCCTCTACCCCTCAGAGTATTTTATGGACAATCCCTAATGAGCTAAAAAGGTTATAAAACAGATGTTAAAACCATATAAATCAGTTGTATATATATATATATATATATATATATATATATATATATATATATATATATATATATATATATATATATATATATATATATATATATATATATATATATATATATATATATATATATATATATATATATATATATATATATATATATATATATATATATATATATATATATATATATATATATATATATATATATATATATATATATATATATATATAACTTGTGTTCCCATTTTGAAAAATTGGTAAAAAAGTCATACGTTTAAATATCTTTAAAATAAATTTATTTACATGTTATATAGTTAAATATGTAACAAAAATATTTAAATAAAAACCTATATAAAACACATTTTTCTTAAAAAACAGTTAATGTTACACGCACTTTTCAAAATCAGTTATAACAGCTGCCATCTACAGGACTGAAGAGCCGAACATTGCCTATTGTACAGAAAATCATATTAAAATAATTAAAAATATTTATTTCTTATAGGGATGACAATTAAATATACTGAAATGTAAATGTATAACAGTCTGAAATTTTTTATGTTAAATACTTAAAACTGATTTGTAAACTTACCCAAATCAATATCAGTTTGACATTTTGAAAATACGTTGTTATAATTAACACTTCTAATAACAAAAACAACAATAAAGTGTATTGAAGTAACTAAAAAGCACTAAAAAATAATGTTAAACTTGCTTAGCTAGTTGTTTAAAATTCTGTGTGACAATGTAAAAAGCTGATTACAGTTTTACAAAATCACCACTAACAATAGCTAATGAGTGCAAACAGAACAATATATATAAAAAAAAATGAAACCTATATACAAAAGCACATTAGACACTATGTTTTAGTTGTAAAAAGCATGTTTATCTGATCTTAGTAAAAACCGAATTAAAAATGAAGAAATTAAATTTTCATAAAAATCAAAATATGTTTTCATAAAAATTTGTTTTTTAAATATGGGGAAGTTTGAAAAAAATTGAATCGATTTTAACTTGAAAAATCAGAAAATCAAACAAAATCATAGAATGTATATATTTATTTATATATATATATATATATATATATATATATATATATATATATATATATATATATATATATATATATATATATATACATATATATATGTATATATATATATATATATATATCTATATATATATATATATATATGTATATATATATATATATATATATATATATATATATATATATATATATATATATATATATGTATGTATATATATTAACCCTTGAAATTAAAATCGGCATTTGGCAATGCCAACTTGAATGCGTATAAGGTCAGCAAAAAAGCACAGACGTTATTTCGATGTTTTACTATAACTTCTTTGTGTCAATTATTATTGCCAATTTTAAACAGTTTAAGGGTGGCAATAAATAGCCAACCTCTTGTTCAAGGGCTAATATATATACATACTGTAAGAAAAAACAAAAGTTATTTACAAAATAAATAATAACAACCAAAAAATATATACAAACGTTATATATATGTGTGCATATATATATATATGTATATATATATATATATATATATATATATATATATATATATATATATATATATATATATATATATATATATATATATATATATATATATATATGCACACACATACATACTGTTAAAGAAAAAAAAAATTATTTACAAAAAAACAAAAGAAAAGAATATATATATATATATATATATATATATATATATATATATATATATATATATATATATATATATATATATATATATATATATATATATAGATATAGATATAGATAGATAGATAGATAGATATAGATAGATATAGATAGATAGATAGATATATATATACACACACACATACTGTTAAAGAAAAGAAAAATTATTTACAAAAAAAAAAAGATAATGTGTATATATATATATTTACATATATGTGTATATATATATATATATATATATATATATATATATATACATATATATATATATATATATACATATATATATATATATATATATATATATATATATATATATATATATATATATATATATATATAATATATATATATATATATATATATATATATATATATATATATATATATATATATATATATATATATATATATATATATATATATATATATGTATACACACACTCACATTTATAAACTTTTATGTCTACTAATATTTCAATTGTAGGCATGAAAGTTTTTTATTATTCCCTCGGTCCTTTGACCCCTGTATGGGGAGTATTGACCACCCCATCTAAATGATGGGTGGTCTGACCCCCCATACTGCACCCATCTTTGAAATAATCTTTGGGTCAAAGGAACAGGCTTGCTTAGTCGATAGCGTTTGTAATCTTCATATGTAAGTTCTAAAAATAAAAATTAATTTATACTTTAATAAATTTAACTGAAGGAGCAAAATTAGGAGTAGCAAAAAAAAATGTTCTCAAGGAGGAAGCAAAAGAAAGAGCAAAAAATAATGTTCCTTATCATTTTTTCTTAATTCTTTTATTTATAGTCAAGTCTTTACTTCATTAAAGCAGATAATATTATTGTAAGCAATAATTTAGAATTACCGTTTGGTGCTTTAGCTTGAATACCTAAACATAATAAATATATATCTACAGATTCTTCTTTATTGCTAAAAAATAAATAAAAACACTTAGAAAAAACATAATAAAATTTCACCATCAGAAGAGCTAGCCGTTGATAATTCATCTAAATTAAAAAAATATTAAACAAACATTTTTTTTCTCAACATATGTAACAAAGATATAGATAAAAATGTTAAAAAATATTGTTAAGTAAAATGAAAAAATATAATCCTTTAAAAGTATGAAAACAGTATGTTATCGAGTTAGGCTTGGTAACTCAATAACGCTTGTATTTTTTATATGTAAGTTTTAAAAATAAAAATTAATTTATACTTTAATAAATTTAACTGAAGGAGCAAAATTAGAATAAAGAAAATGTTCTCCATCATTTTTTCTTAATTTTTTTATTTATAGTCAAGTCTTAAAGCAGATAATAGTATTGTAAGTAAGAATTTAGAATTACCGTTTGGGGCTTTAGCTTGTATACCGAAACATAATAAACATATATCTACAGATTTGTCTTTCTTGCTAAAAGATAAATAAAAACACTTAGAAAAGACATAATAAAATTTCACCATTGGAAAATTTTTTTTCTGACAATTCATCTAGATAAAAAAAACATTTAACCGAACATTTGAATTTTTTTTCCCAACATATGTAACAAAGATATATATAAAAATGTTAAAAATATTGTTAAAATGAAAAAATATTATCCTTTAAAAATATGGAAACAGTATGTACAACTTACCAACTCGCCTTTGCAGAAGAATTTGAAAAAAAACTTAAAAATTCAATGTAATTCCTAAATATATCTTGAATGATATATTTTAGAATATTCATCATAAGATATACATTGGTAAATATATAGTTTTATATATTGGTAAATACATTATTTTATTTATTGGTAAATATAATTACTTTACATGGTTATTGTGTATAGTGGTATAGTTATAAGGTCAAATGTACCTGGTAGTACCGCACTTAATTTGTTTCTTAGCAAAGCGGCCTTGTTTTAAAATGTTAGTGTTTTAAAATTTTATTTTTAAGTTGAGAAAGGGTTGCAACCACAATTAAAGTAGCATCCTTAACTGTAACAGCCTACCAAGCTTTGGGGAGATAAAAACATATGATATATTTTTGCTTACCAATCTGTTGCCTTAGATCTGAAATATATAAAAAAAAGAAAAAATTTATTTAATTTGTTATTTAATAAAAGTAAAATCTGAAATCTGAATACTAATATAACTTACTTGGTACTTCATTGGTATCTAAAAATATTGACATGCTATTATAAAGGTTTGAAAATGTTTG